ATACTGCAGACATAAACAATTACAGACCAATTTCAAATCTACCTATATTATCAAAAATATTTGAAAAAATTATTTATAAACAGATCTACTCCTACCTCATAAAATTCAACATATTAATAAGTCCCTGTCAGTTTGGCTTCCGCTCTCAAAGAAGTACCAATGATGCAATTATTAGTCTGTTTGATATAATTTACACAGCCCTTGACAAAAATTAGTTCCCAATTGGACTATTCATTGACATGAGAAAGGCCTTTGATGCTGTTAACCATAACTATCTTTTACTTAAACTTCACCATTATGGAATCTGCAGCCTTGCCCTGAACTATATTCGATCTTATCTTAGTGACAGACACCAATATGTAGCCATCAATGTGTATTTTATATACAATGGGGCCTCGACTTACGATGCTAATCCGTTCCCAGAGACAGATCGTAAGTCGAAGCAATTTTTCCCATAAGAAATAAAGGGAATTGAATTAATCCGTTCCCCATCCTACAAAATATTAACATACAAATACATTTTATACTGAATACAATGCTTTTTTTCTAACTGCAATACAGTACCAAAGTTTCTCTTACCTTTATGGAGGGCTCTTGATGGCGTATGGAAGATGGTGATGAGGGAGGGAAGGAGGAGAGTTGTTACTGTTTGGATGGAGAGTCCCCTTCCATTATCACATCAGGCAGTGATGTTTTCTCTGGGGTACTTTCTCTCCTACGTTTTGCCTGAATACCAACTAGGACCTGGTTGTGGTTCAGTGCTTGTTTGCCTCACTACAAATTTGACAAGAGACATTTGTTTTTCCCTTCGTTTTAAAAAATATTAGCATTTGTCTGTAATGATGCATCACAGTGTCATTGAATAGGATAAGGCAACGACCTACTGCAGCTTGATTTGGGCGAGTCTCAGCAAAGGTTTGCAGTTCTTCCCATGCTGCACACATTTTCTTAATTGTTGAGGAAGAGACATTCTGTACTCTTGTTTCTGCTCTATGATCATCCTTACATGGGTTTTCATATGTTGAGCCTTACTACTGACTTTCCTGGGACTCATGGCATGATATATAATAATTACTTTAATGTTCAAAATGCAAAAAATCACCACAAAAGCAGAATTTCTTATAGGCGCGATCGTCACTAAGCGGGCAGCTGTAGTAAACTGAGGCAGGTCGGCCGCGTGACCGGGAATCATGCGCTCGGTCGACCCGAACGTGTACCAACAAATATCGGAAGTCGACGACACCATCGGATGTCGAGTCTCATTTTTCGATGAAATTTACATCGTAACTCGAAATTATTGTAAGTAGGGGCAATCGTATGTCGAGGTGCCACTGTACATAAAACACTGAACTATAATGTCAATCCTGACCTTGAAAGCTTCCTAGAAGGTTGTAACAGATCCCTTGAGCACCACACCAGAAACAAATACCTATTTGATATTCCAAGAGTACGACTTAATCAAACTAGAAATGCTTTACAAATCAAGGGACCTCAAATGTGGAATGATCTTCCCAATTATGTTAAAGACTGTACCTCTCCCAACCAGTTTAAGATAAAAACAAAGTACTACCTTATCAACTCCATGTAACCTACCTCACCCCCAAAATGTCAACCCCTGACTACTTCTTATAACAATGCTGTTTGTTGACCAAATTTTATTTTTGCTTTTTTTTCTGCCATGTTTCCCGCCCCTTTTTTTAATTTTTTTCTTATTTTTTCATAACACAATTTATGCTTTAATCTCAATTAGTATTAAGTTTTAGTCTTAGTGTTTTCCCTGCCTGAAATGCTATGCATAATAGTGGCTTTAGGCATTGTATGTACTAGCTCTATCTATAAAATCCATCAACTTTTTGTATCTTACCTTATACAGTATGTATGTACTTTACCTGAATAAATATTGAATTGAATGACATAACCTTCCCCATTATACCATTAACCATAGGAGTGCCACTGGGCAGCATCCTAGGACCTCTCCTATTTCATATATATCAAAAAATGTTTATTCAGGTAAGGTACATACATACAAGAGATTTTTACAAAAATTGATAGGTTTATATATAGAGCTAGTACAAACAATGCCTAAAGCCACTATTACGCAAAGCGTTTCGGGCAGGAAAAACATTAAAGACTAAAACTAAATACTAATTGAGTTTAAAGTATAAAATGTGTTGAGAACAAGTAAAAATAAAAATAAGAAAAGGGGGGGAACATGGCTGAAAAAGCAGCACAAATATAATTAGGTCGGCAAACAGTGGTGTTAAAAAAAAAAGACAAGGGTTGACAATACAGGGGTAAGGTAGGTTACAGGGAATTTATTAGGTAGTGCTTCGTTTTTATATTAAATTTTTTGAGAGAGGTACAGTCTTTGACAATAAAGGAGTAAGGTAGGTTACAGGGAATTTATTAGGTAGTGCTTCATTTTTATCTTAAATTGGTTGAGAGAGGTACAGTCTTTAACATGGTTGGGAAGGTCATTCCACATTCTGGGTCCCTTGATTTGTAGAGCATTTCTAGTTTGATTAAGACATACTCTTGGAATATCAAAACTGTATTTGTTTCTGGTGTGGTGCTCATGGGTTCTGTTACAACCTTCAATGAAGCTTTTGAGGTCAGGATTGGCATTGGACTTTTTTTAATTCATTATTCACAACATTATTTAGTGTATGTGGGTTGAGGTCTGAACAGAGAAGGGTAGTATCGTCAGCAAACAATATAGGTTTGAGAATATTAGAGACATTAGGCTGATCGTTTATATATATAAGAAATAGAAGAGGTCCTCCATTTATTTACTTGACTCCATTTATACTAACTCTTTGTTTCCTTTGGTATAGCCATGCCCTAATCCAGCTTAATATAGCACCCCTAATACCATGAGACTCTATCTTTTTAATCAGTCTTTCATGTGGCACTGTATCAAAAGCTTTGCTAAAGTCAAGGTACACAACATCACAATCCTTACCACTATCAACTGCCTCAACTATGCTAGAATAAAAAGATAACAAATTTGTTAAACATGAACGGCCATTTATAAAACCATGTTGCGACTCAATTATTAATTTATGTTTTTCAAGATGAAGACGAATTTTATTTGCTATTATAGATTTGAGTAACTTTCCCACAATAGACGTTGGGTCACTAGTTAGACGCAAGTGATCTATCTCCTTTCTTAAAAACTGGTATCACATTAGCAACTTTCCAAAACTCTGGCACTCTACCTGACTCTATTGATTTATTAAATATGGTTGACAGTGGGTCACAAAGCTCCTCTTTGCATTCTTTAAGCACCCTGGCAAACACTTCATCCAGCCCTGGGGATTTGTTTGGTTTGAGTTTTACTATTTGTTTAAGAACATCCTCCCTGGTAACTGCTAAACTCGTCAACCTGTCCTCGTCCCCACCCACATAGACTTGTTCGGCTGAAGGCATATTGTTAAGTTCCTCTTTAGTAAATACAGATACAAAATATTTATTAAAAATACTACTCATCTCTTCATCACTATCTGTTATTTGACCTGTCTCAGTTTTTAATGGACCTATCCTTTCCCTAGTCTTAGTAAGACATAACTGAAAAAACCCTTTAGGATTTGTCTTTGCTTGCCCTGCTATGCGAACTTCATAGTTTCTTTTTGCTTTCCTTATCTCTTTTTTTAACATTTCTAACCAGTTGTACGAATTCCTGTTCTAAACTGACCTCCCCATTTTTAATCCTTTTGTACCAAGCTCTCTTTTTACCTATAAGGTTCTTCAAATTCTTTGTTATCCACTTTGGGTCATTAGTATTCGATCTATTCAATTTGTATGGTATACTACGTTCCTGTGCTTTGTTTAGAATATTCTTAAATAAGTTATATATTGAATCCACATCGAAATCCCCATTTACGTCACCTATCGCTGGGTTCATGTCTCGCTCCAAGACCGAGATAGTCCTTAACTATCAGTACTGGAAGGAGTAAGATAGTCCTTAACATTAGTACTGGAAGATGGAATGTCATTTGCAAGGGATGACCGAATGGAAGAGAAGAACCTATTGAACTCAATAGCAGAATCAGAGGCTGAAAGCTGACCATCGTTATTGAACAGGAGTGTTGGTTTGTTATTTAAAATCTTCTTTGATCCCAATATTTGTGAAATTGTGCTCCAAGTTTTTTTAATGTTGCTCTTTATTTGGGTAAATTTATCTCCGTAGTATTTAGTTTTGGCTCGTCTAATTATTTTAGATAGCACTAACGAGTAATTCTTTGAGAATTGTTTGGAGATGGTTCCTAACCTATACTTCTTCTCAAGGTCATGTTTTTTATTAATGGATTTAAGTATTCCCTTTGTAAGCCAAGGATTGTTAAGCCATTTGGTTGTGACTTTTTTTCGTAAGCATAGGACAGTGGGTGTTACAAAGGCTGAGATTTTTTGAAGAAAAGATTGCACGCTAGGTTGATGTCCCCTATGTTACCTAACTCGGACTCCCAGTTGACATTAGCATCAGCAGTTATAAAATTGTCTATAGCAGTTTCATTGTGCAGCCTAAAGCTTAACTCCCTTGTCTCTAGAGGTGGTTTGTTAATGTTAGTTAAGAGAAATGTGGGGTAATGGTCTGTAGTGCTATCGGTGATTATACCTGAAGTAATATACATATACATCAATGATCTTCTTAATGTCTATTAACATTCTTAAACCTATACTATTTGCTGACGATACTACCTTCATCTACTCATACTCTAACCCACACACACTAAATAATGTTGTAAATGACAAATTTAAAAAAGTCCACTCATGGATGGTAACCAACAAACTCACACTAAACATAGAAATGACCTACTACATATTATTTGGAAGCAAATCAACAAATGCAATTCAGCTTCAGACATCATTAATAAAAAGGTTGGAAAGTTCTTTACATCCCACTGCTGCCAGTGACCTTGCCACAACTGTGACTTTCATGATCATGACCTGTTCATCCAAAAGTCTCATCTGCTAAATCAACTGCATTACACAAGACTTACAGCATGCTCTGCAAACTCTTTTTCTGCCTCCAGGATAATGCAGACTAAACAATAGCTCCTTCTTGCCCTGACCAGTCTGACTAGCTGCCATCATGCTTCTCCCTGTCCCCAATACTGCTGCACTACACACCACCCTTCTGCTTGCATCTCCTCTTACAGCCCTAGTGATTGAGCCTATGTGCAAAAACCTGCTATCAGAACATTAACAAACTCTGTTTTCAGACAACACACAGGCCCCTCTGTTTAAATCCCTAAACATGCTAAACATAAACTCACTCCACACATTCTCTTGTGCCATTTACAATGTACAAAACCTTGTTCCTAAATAAAAATCTTGATCTGAAACTCTTCCTTGACAGAAGTAATAGAACCCATAATCACCACACCAGAAATAAATCTCTTTGATATCCCCAGAATGACACTAAATCTAGTGTAAACACTATGCAAATAGGGGACCTAGTCTATGGAACTCACTCCCTAGCAAGGTTATAACCTGAGCTTGTAAAAGCACCTTAATCACCTTCAGTGATTAAGTGCTTAATTGCACACTAGCTTCTCTATCAGCTATCTCACCCTGTCAGAGTAAAAGAGACAAATGTATGTGAATGCATGTGTGTGTGTATAAAGTATATATGGAAGCTGATCAAAATTACATTTCACCTTTGTAAATGCACATTAATGACACTATGTAAAAAACACATCGAACACTTTATGTAATGCATACATATATCTGTGTATCTATGTATTTACGTACGTAGGTTAGCTTAGCATTTTAAAAGCACCGAATCACCATCTGTGGTTGATTATCCAATAAACCCTTGAACTATATGTTTAACACATCTCTAACCCTGTCCTTGGAGGACAGAAGAAAATGTATATATGCTGGTTAGCATTGTAACTGTGTGGCCACGTCTGTGGTAGAAAATAATAAAAAAAAAAACTCCCTAGCAAATTAAAAAGCTGTCCAACCTATGCCATATTCAAAAGTAAAACCAAAAAGTACCTAATTTCATCCTCATAGTTTCCTACCTAGTGCTTCAAAATCACATTGTATCTTGAGCTACCCTCTCCCCCAAAATATGTGCATAAGCCATACAACTTTACCGCTGTAATCATTGCCATCATCTTATATCATGGTTATGTTGAACACAAATTTTACTACAATGTACCTGTTAATACTCCTCAAATTTTATTATAATGTACGTATTAATTTTCTTCAAATTTTCTTGCAATGTACCTGTTAACATTTTACAATTTTGCTACAAATTATCTACTTATAATTATCTCTTAGATTGACCCTAAAGGGCACAAAACATATCATTTAAAAGATTTTTAGTCCCATGGCAATACCAGGTTCACATGAGCTTACTTAGGGCTCAGGTAAACAGAGGGTATTTAAAAAAAAAATCATGGATCACATTCCCAGGTGTGAGATCCTTAACCCTTTAACTGCACCACCTCCAAACACGACACCCCCCAGTGTGCAGGAAATAAATTCTCTTGAATTTTTTTTTTTTTTAAGTGTCAAAAACCCTTCCCTCAGTATGGGTATGTCAAAAAATATCAAAATTGTACTTACTTTGCCTGCTATGGGGTCCGTAAGTTGGAGCGTGACATCATCATTCCCCATTCGCCCATGACATATGCTCACGGGGCAAGTAGAGCGCCCGGGGTAAGGCGCGCGAATTGCCGCGAATATATTTTTGTTCATTTCTTGCGCACAGTTCCAAATACATTTTATTTGTTTTTACGTGCTAATCCTATGTATAATGAACACGTACACTATATTAAGGCAGTGTTACGGCCCTCTCGGGTCGCAACTGGGTTCTTACTCTGATGTTGTTAGAGGAAGGGTATCCGGCCCCAAGCCAGTAGTGGCTTTCAAGGGATGAGATCCGTAATGCAAGTAAAATAAAAGGGGAAGGGAAAGAAAGGCAAAAACTTAATATTATATAATGATCACCGTCACCAATAAATATATATAAACGATTACACGGGGGGGGGGGGGGTATAAACACTATACTACACTGTTGTCTTCTTCTGAAGACTGTGGATCCTCTCGATGCCAAGTTCTCGGTGCTCCCGTGACCTCACGACGAATCCTTCGAAAAGCTGAGTCTACCCCGGCCACAGGCCAGCCAAAACACAGTTCCACTGGGGGCACCGCCGTGGAGGCCGTCAACCACAAGTCCAGCAGAACAGCTGGCAGATTCCGGGTCAGCAACGCTGGTCAGGCCACTCCACGAGCGATACTAGGGTAGCGCCCTAGTCAGGAGCCTCGTGTGATACCACAGATCACTCTCCTGTCCACGATACCCCAGTGGTTAAGCGTCTCCACCAGTCAGTCCCGGGTATGACAATCCTCAACTGCCGCTTCACAGGCAGGGTAACACCACAGTGTTCATCCGGGAGGCGACTCACAGCTGCTGCAGCAAAACACTTGGTGTCGAGACGGCTGCCTTGGGTAGACTGATCCAACCTCCTTTACAGCAGCCCCAGGTCGACTCTGTAAGCAGACACGTCATCAATAACAGGGACACATTAAAGCACCTCACTTACAGGCTCAGACCCAAACGCCCACCAATCCACTCCATAGATGGCATTGTCGTCTGAGCACCACCTCACCAGAGGTCAGCAGCGGCTGTGTTGTGAGCTGAACAGGACTGGAAACTGGCCCTCATGGCCAATACACCTCGTCCTCACCATGTGTCGTCGTCCATTTGGAGGAGGTTTCGGGAGCTGACCCACAGGTTGCGTGGTCGTCACTGCTCCAGGCTCGGACGCTGGATCCGGGTCCGTAACACCTCCCCACCAAAAAGAATTTGGTTTGGGTTTCTAAAAGGAAAAACACAAACCAAATTAGTATGTGGATACAACTCCACACAGACTCACGTACACTATGAACTGGAGTGATGAGGCTGTCTTGTCCACAGAACTGTTCTACTGGACAACTCTCGCACAAAGGGAACTTGAAGATAGAAGGCAATGACCTGCCTGATGTAATCGTCCACATCTCCACTGCGATGTCAAGCAGGGGCATAATCTCACATCTCTCGTGTAAGGGTCGGTATAGACACGATCTGGGGCGACTCGACACTTCCCTGTGTCGGGGCACCGATGATGGCTGGTCACCGACGGCATTTCTGGTGCCGGTCCGGTAGTCCTTCAGGGAGACGGGAACCTGGAATACAGGGGGCTGATAATTCAGAGTGACAGCGACAGTGGGCAAGTCAATACTTACTGCATGCGCCTCTACTAGGCTCACACCTAGTTCCAACAGGGCTGCTTGCACACCGAAGATGGCTTTCGCTCTGTCACCGTCCGGTCGACCAACGTTCCGTATAACGCTGCATTTAGGCTCAGCTATCACGCGGGGGGTGTCAACCTGTCGGAAACAGTCACTCATTTTATCATCTGTCGTACCTCCTGTATCTACCATTACCTTCTAGGTCCCTTCTTTGACTGCAACACTTGCAGTACAAATCTCCAATCCCTGGGATCTCTTCGCGATGTTCAAGGGAGCCATCATCTGTCGGGTCGTACACTGGTCCCTACTGAGAACCCACACGAGAACAAAAAACACCGCTAAGAAACATTTGTTTAGCTTAGGTACAAGTGTCATGAGCTTGTTATGTTCATAGCCGGCTATATCCGTTAGCCTGGTTTGGACCGAAGAGGGCTCTAGAACCTTCGCACATACCTCACATACCTCCGACGTCTGGGGAATCTCTGGCCGGTTCAATGGACGCTGTACCTTGCCATACCGCAAGTACTCATCTGCCTCCGCTCCAGACTCGTTGGTATCCGTGGGTGCTTGCACACACGACCTCTCTTCATGCTCAGTTACCTCTGCCATCATAACTTCATGCTTCTGGTCGGGAAACGATTCAGGAGACTCTGCTAGAATGCTGCTGACTCTGTTGTCAATCTGTAGGCGAGAGGAAGGATTAAGCATATTTAAATCCGGGTCTGACTGTTCCTGGATATTACCACTGCCTGTTGTTACCTCAGACCTTGCTGTTCCGGCTGACTCGTCCGCGACCTTGGGATGATTGTTGCTCCAACCTGTCACCAAGTCATTGGCTAGTACCACGTCAATCCCAGCTATAGGCAAGGCATCGACTACTGCCAACGCACATGTGCCGCTGAAGTAAGGCGAGTCGAGATGTACCGGCACTAAGCGGGCGATGTACTGCGTCCTAGGAAACCCAACCAGGACAACCTTTGGTCTCCCAACCACACTCACTCCCTCGGGTAACGAGTTTTTCACAATCCGGGACTGGGCTGCTCCACTATCTCTGAGCACTACAACAGATCTATCAGTATGATCACTCGTTACATACCCGCATGAAGTGTGAGGGGCGAACAAACTTGGTCCGTCCTGCGTAGTCGTCGACTGGCTTCCTACTGGTGGTGTCACACAGCTCATCAACATCACCTCCCTACGTGCGCCGCTACCTCTTCTACCTCGGCACATAGCAGCTACATGCCCTTTCTGCCCACAAGTCCAGCACACCATATTCCTCCTCGGACTCCGGTGTTTCGGACTGCTAGGACTCGTCTTTCGAGGGCTACTTGGGGGCGTCGTCTTAGCGCTTTGTGGGACGGCGGTCTCTTCTTCGTCGTGAGGTTTGTCAAACCGGCGTTGGTAATGCCTCGGGACGTACTTAGCAGAAGGCCTGTGCGTCAAGATGTATTCCTCAGCCATGGTGGCTGCTGCACTCAAGGTTTCTACCTGCTGCTCTTCCAAGTACGTCTTTAGGTCTCCAGACAAACAATCCTTGAAGTCCTCTAACAGTATGAGCTGCTCGAGGTCTTCTTTGGTCTCCACCTTCCGAGATGTACACCATTCCTGGAAAAGTCGCTCCTTGATAGTGGCGAATTCGGTGAAAGTGTGCTCCGAGGTCTTTTTCAGGTTCCTGAACTTCTGCCTGTAAGCCTCAGGTACCAATTGGTACGCCATGAGCACGACCTTCTTCACCTTGTCATAATCGCCGGAGTCGTCAAGGGATAACGTGGAGTAGGCGATTTGGGCCTTCCCAGTCAAAACTGACTGTATCATGATGGCCCAATTCTCCCTTGGCCACTCCAAAGAGGCAGCGACTTTCTCGAAGGCTGCGAAGAACTTTGACACTTCCTTCTCATTGAATTTTGGGACCATTTTGATGTTCCTTACCGGATCGAAACTACTGGTTTCCGTTGTTGGCCTCCAACCACCGCCTAATCGTAATACTTCTAGTTCATGTTGTCTCTGTCTTTCGTTTTCTTCTTCTCTCGCTGTTCTCTTTCTCGTTTCTCTTCTCTCTCTCTCGCTCTTCTC